AGGAATGCAGGCTGGATTTAGACCAGCCGCACACAGGTGATTGTTGCTGATGCCAGATGAATTTTGGCTGAAAGTAGATGATCAGGATGTCCATTTGTTTTATTAACTTTTGCAAAGTTCTTTGACTATGTGGATCATAATAAATCATGGCTGATACAGAGAATGGGGATCCCTGAAGACACAATCAAGAAAGGTGTGTCAGGAATGTATCCTTTCTCCACACCTATCCAATCTGTATGCAGAACAAATCATTTGAGAAACTGGACTTTATGCTATCAGCTGAAGACTAAGGTACACCTCATCCAAACCAATTACTTGCTCAGCAGCTGGGGATGATGCTATGTGATGATGAGTAAGGATGACAGAAGAACCAATGCCTTTGATTTGTGATGTTGGAGAACAGTGCTGAATATCCCATGGACTGCCAAAAGAACAAACAAATCTGTGAGGAAATGTGCATCCAGGGTGCTCCTTGGAGACAAGAACGGAGCCGCTTTGTCTCACATATTCTGGGAGGGGCCAGTCCTTGAAGATGACATCATGCTTCCAAAGGTGGAGGGGTCAGCAAAGGAGATCTCAACGAGATGGGTTGACATGGTGATTTTTAATAGTGGGCTCCAGTGGTCAGGATGGCACAGAATTAAGGGCAGGGTTCAGAATCATTGTTCATAGTTGCTAAGTTAAGTTGATGGTGCTTTACAAGATTTTTATCCACCAGCCACTACTCAGGAGACTGGCAGGGCGTAGTTACGTGTGACTTTGGAATCAAGGGCAATGAATGACCTCTTGTACAAGAGAAAAACCACCTTGGCAGGGCCGTGGTACACCATCCCGTGACTGCAGCAACAGGAGAGAAGGCTGGTCACTTGGGCTTTAGCTTTGCGCCACTTCCTACTGCCCTAGTGGGCAGCCCTAACTTATTAGAAACACCAGCTGTGTTCTTATTTGCACATGTAATGGGATTGACTGGAACAGCACATCAACAGAGAACTACCAGAAGTCCAGGCTGGTTTCAGAAGGGGTCGTGGTACTAGAGATATTGTAGCTGATGTTAGAT